CGAGATAAGACGTAATAAATTGGTCGGAAGAATTACGGTCTTCGTTGTCACCTTAATTTACCTGAACATGTAAAACACAATTGAAAAATCAATCGACTTTAATGATATCAAATATATTTAAAGATTTAGTTTATGTAAATTATTATAGAATGAAGTTTAATGTTTCTTACTAATATCATAAATGCGAATGTTTGGATGGATGGATGTTAGAAGGTATTTCAAGAACGGTTACATGGATATCGCTGAAATTTGGCATAGATGTAGAACAAAGTCTAGAAGAACACATAGGCTACTTAAGTTTTTTTTTAATTTTGCGTGGACGGATTCGCGATTAGCGATTGCGCGAGTTATTAATAAATTATTTATGTAGGATAAAATAATAAGAGAAAAGTAACATTGTAAAAAGTAAGAGAGAATTTAAAAACATCTTACAGATTCAACAAAGTGAAACAATGTTCATTTGTTACCAACTTCTTGAAACTCGTGTCTAATCGAGGCTTAAAAAAAGCAAGAGAATTGCAAAACAGGGAAAGTTGATGAAATCTTTTGCGGGTGAGGAATTTAATTAACATTCCGTTACATTCCCGCCAAGTGGACACGACTGGGCCTAATTTTCAGCTGTCAGCGTCAGACCGGACGCCCCGGAGAGACCCAGCTAGACCCTAACTAACCAAATATGCAGTGGCATGAATGAATGTAGTTTTATATTCGGAAAATAAACTTTACTTTGGGAAAATTATTGATAAATTACTTTTGCTTACATAATAGTGAGTCTCTTGACTTTTTAACATATGAATTAACCTTGAACAGATTGGTCCATTGTTCAAAGTTTTAAAGTAAATGAAATCAAGTCTAAACTCGTTTAGCGCCCGGCCATCTCGAAAACTTTATGAATGAAATGGATTTGCCGTAAAAACTCATCATTTTAAAATTAATAATAATATTTACGTTATTCATACAACTCCATGTCTTCTTGGTACATATAGCCGTAGCCATTAAGTTAGCTAAGTATATTTTTATCCCGTAGCTCCATAAATTCGTCGGGAGCCACTGGTGGCTTTTAAAAAGTAGTAAAAACTCTGAGCATTAAATCCTGAACAAGTCGACAGGTGCGGCGCGGTCGATATTATCTTGTTTTTTATTTTCACTAAACAGATCTTAGTTACGACAAATATTTGTAAGTAAATCTTTTTCAACCATACAGCAAGCCATACTAAAATATTAAAATATAATATATTTGTATAATATGTAGAGAAAGTTTTACTGAACCAATAAATGTTTGTGTGTTTGAAAAAAAAATAGCTTAAAATATTTTATATGTTTAATATAAATTTATTAGGACTATATGTACACAGCGTGTCCCCATACTCAACAAGATAATTAATTTATTCTTATACTAAAATTTTAAATCCTTAATAAAGTGGACGAAATGTTGTTCCATGTTGAGTTATAAAAATATGTTATCTTCGCCCCATACTTTAGAGCAGGGGTTTATTAAGCAGTCGTAAAACGAGTTGCAGGGGCCCAGATACGATGCGTCCGATAATGAGAGTCGTAACGAAGCAATAAACTCTCTAATTTGTTGCAGCCATCGTGATGTTAAATCTAAGTGCAAATGCTTTTTTGGAAAAGTTTGCAATGATTTTGGCTGATAAAGCGACGGAAAATCATGTCCCAATTCACAAATCTGTCACTATTGACGAGTATTTTTGTTGTAAAAAAGCATGTTTGATAAGAAACTCGACATTATTACAGATAATTTCCTCTCCAAATTGTTAGTTAACTACTAAGTAGATTTTAAGTTCTACTTTAGCTTTTTTTTATAACGAATTAGTTCGACTATATTCTTCAGATCATTTAAAACCTTCCGTTCCCTGTAAATGCATACATTGCACCGAGCACGTAAAATGTAGGAAAATACAAAAGTTATCCAACTCTGGCAGTGAGGCTAATGAAAAAAGTTTCGGCGACAGACCTGACCGCATGTCGATTTGCAACGACGCAGCGTTTTGAATTAAAAATGAATATTTGAAATAGCTGCTAGAATGTGTGTTGCTAACGTAATAGATCACGCGATGCTTAACGTTATTATAATGGTGGAGAAACCTATTTATTTATTTTCATAAATATTATTTTAACAGATCTACTAATTGTGCAATGAATTTAAGCCAACCAGTATTAAATGACTTACAAGAAACTGTTTTTTTTTTCATTCCGTGCAATGAATAAAAACCCATCGACGATTAATATTTTTCTTAAGACTATCGAATATTCTTAAGTGTCACCGCTTTATGAATTCTTACTAAATCCAAAATTAATCAAATAATGCCTTGATATAAAATTAAACTTATCAATAAATATTTAATAAATAAACCCTACAATTTTCGAGTTCACAGTTCACAAGTTGGCTACAGACCAATGTAGAAGTTGTACGGCGCCGGGACCTTTCGGTTCACGAACAATAATTATCGCCAACAGTTCACTCCTTTATAATTACTAAGCTATAGAATTTGCCGTTGAAAGTGGAACCTTATACGTGCGTCACAAGACATCGCTGTGGAAATATTCGATCACAAATTAATTGCTGCCTTGCGATCGTCACATGGGAAATGGCCGAAAAGCATTTAGCCGTATCAAACATAAATGAGTAAATTTGTCGATGATTACCGAGTACACTCTGTGATTCGGAAACTCCCTTATGAATTATCAATATGTCTTGAGTTTGCATAGTAAATATTTACTGAGGTTTATATTGGTATTAACATACCTATAGTATGGTTGATTTTATTTTATGTCCATTTTGTAATATGATAATAAGAATCCTTTAAAAGTTCGTTAAGTTTTTTTATATACCAACCAATAGACTAATCTTATAAATGGAATTAAGTACAGGCTGTATACTTACTAAATTCGAAACAAAGCAACGTTTCAAGTCCTACAACAATTAGTCTGTAGTCAAACTATTTTCCATGTCCTAGTATAGTCGAAGTTGTCGCAAGATTAGTGCCGCGACGCGATCTAAGTCTAAATTGAACATAATAACTGTCGGGACAAAGGTGGGGAAGTTGCTGCGGTCTGTGGCGGCACCTTACTTCGCTAACAATTTGCGGCCGCGCCGAGTTATGTCGTCTTTACCCGACACGCCGTGTGGTGTGCCTCCACCTTTATTTTTGATTAAATATTGACTTGATAGTTTCTTGACAAGTAAATACTAGAATATACGGACTATTTAGTAATTGTAAAAATTAGAGATAATAGTAAAAGTTTTAGAAGACACTTGAGCGATATTTTTCTGGGTCATTCCCAGAATTATTTTGTTATAATTTAGAGGTGCTTCTTTTTAAGATCGCGTTTATAATAAGTCGTCATATCTAGTGCTTATGTTTAGACGACACAAATTAAAATATTCTTGTTTTTATAGAATTCTATGGAAATAAGAAATTACAACAAACTAATGTCATCAATTTTAAAAATAGAATATATATTTTTTCATCAATAAAACTTTCTAAAATGAATCCATAGAAAATGAGTCTCATATTCATTGAATTCAATTGTACTATTTTCCATATCCAGGTCTAAATCTAGGTTTGTATATTCAACTAGAAGACAGGTAATAAAAAATTAAATTATATATAATAATTGTGGTCCAACGTTTTAGCATAAATTTTAAAAACCTTCTCGTCCATCCATCTTTTTTACTTTATGGTTTCTTGTTTGTACTGCAATAATTTCAGCTATTAGTCAAACACCAAGACTTATAAGGTTGCTTATAATTATTTTTAGTATAAAGGAAATAAAAAACGCATTTATACTTTTAATTATTTTATTATCCATACATAAATGGACACAAAATGACGTACTTTAGCAATGTCTTTACAATATTATGATATTTAAAAACATTGTTAAAGTCAATTAAATTTATGAAATAGAAAAAATTATAAAGAGGGGCCCTAAGAGGAATTACGTAATTAATACTAAATCTTAATTTATACGATTACATATTTGCTAATCTCCTACGTGTGTGTCTTATTTTGAGTGCATCTAAACAGTACACCAGAAGACTTTTATTGGAAAAAGTCTACGTATACAATATTTTATTAATTTCATTACGTTATCAATTGTTCCAACAAATATCTTCAGATTATACGTGTATACAAAATTGCAGTTAATACAGATTAAAATATTTTTTTTAGCTTATATAAAAACTGCTAAACCACCAAATGGGTGCTGTTCAAGTTACCACTCACCCTGATGAAAAGTCTCAGATGGGTTCAAAACAAATCGATGCCAACACCGGACAAACATACGTGTTTTAGTCGTTTTTATATAAGTTTATGATAATGTCTCACGAAAGTTTGAATATTTTTTTTAGCTGTTTATATTTAGTGTTACCAGTTACGTATAATAGTAAAAATGTTGCTAGTATAATAGTTAAGCTACAAGTACATACACTACTGTATTTCAGCAAATTACTATTACGATTTAAAGTCACATCACATCCTCTCAAACAGTAAACTTAAAACTAACTTAAAACAAAAAAAAATGTAATCTGCAATTAGCCAGTAACATGATTTTTAGTAAAAATTAAAATGGCAGTCATTCAATACTATAATTTATAAACAGACAAACAGTCTTAATCAATATTTAAATTAAATATCATTCAATCGATAAAACGCAAATCACTCAAACTACATAAATGCGCGTATGTAGAATAATTTTAATTGCTAAAAATGACATCCAAAAGATGTCAGCGTTCAAAATATTAAAGAAAACGGCGTAAACCAAAATACATAATAACCAAACTGATTTTTTGAATGTAACAAGTAATTGGGGTGACTAATTAATTACCCCAATTACTTCTTACATTCAATAAATCAGTCTCAGTAAATCACCATTAACTTAGAGTAGGCTCAGAGCCCCTCGGTGGGGACGTATAGTGAGCTGATGATGATGATGAAGAAGAAGTAATTAAGTTAAAAATGATATGAAATATTAAAAATGTAAGGTAAAATATAATTTATAATAAGGAACGCTGACATCTTAATGTCGAAAAGTACACTAACAAATTTTAAAGCCTAGAAAAATCTTAAAATTAAACATTACCCTATTGTTCCGATTACACGTGTTTCATACATTAACGTATAAAAGGTTTCGATATAATCGATGCAGGACATCACTCGATACTTTTGTGAAAACAAAAACTTATTCCCTTGGTTAATAGCACCAATGCCAATTAATGTAATAAAATAAATTTGAATTATTTAAGTATTAAAAAAGTAGCTGCCGTATAAATGATTATATCTTTATTAAGTTTCCATTGTCGAGACATTTGTATAAAAACATGTCATCTTTCATATTATGTTTGAAAATCCACATACAATGTTTCTATACAAGTATTCCGCCAGTGAAAACAGTTGATCACAGATTTTTTGTCCGTACGGCCATATTTCCAAACTTCAAAATAACATAAAACAGATTTGTACTAAACAGACTGTAATGTGTGATTAAGTGGAACTTAAACATTAAAATTAATCACAATAAAAAACCAAAAAAACATACAGACGTACCAAACACATAGTAAAGTATTCAATAACACACATCTCAAATATAAATCATGTTATTTTAATTTTGTTGTTTTTATTGTTTAGGTTCAGTTCAATAACTATTTAATTTGCTCACAAAGAACACAAATCGACAAAATGACACCGTGCATAGTTACGTCACGTGACGTCATCAAGCTAACAAAACAAAAGACAAAACGTTACGTATGCATCAGTGACGTCACATTTTAGTCATGTGTGTGTGTTTGTGTGTGTAGGCAGGCGGGTTGCCGTAAAGATTAAAATGTTATGCGCCGATCCCATATAAGTGGGATAAGGCTGGGGAGATGTCGGTGTCGGTGTCGGCGCGGGCTTGCAGGTCGGTGTCGGCCTACAAGTCGGTGTCGTACCAGGCGGCGACGTTGTTGTTGTCGTGCGGAGGCTCGGGGAAGGCGAGGTCGGCTCCCCCGCCTCCGGCCGTCTCCGTCTCCCCGATGTCCATCTCCATGCCGAATCCGCTGCCGATCTCCAAGCCCTGCATCGAGTCTATCGGGATCTGATCGTAGCCTGCTGAATTAAAAAAAACATGTCACAAATGAAATACTAATAATATAAAACGACCCACAAGACGAAGAGTTGTATCTTTTAGGTAGCTGATGTAACTCTTTTCATTGCATGGGTCCAGCTTTATGTCATACATAAAGGGATAAGCGGACAAGGCATTTTTTATAATAGGCAGTTATGTATGATAGTCAATATAAAACTCAACTATGAAAGCATATGTACAAGGTGAAAAAAAATATATTTTCATGTAACTCACCATTCCACAGTTTGATAATGGAATTAAAATTCAAAAAGGGAATATTACTAAGCAATGTAATAAATACAAATATATTTGTAAAAATTTGAAAGCGTTTGTGGTTTAAATAAAGCCAACACACTGTTAAATAACAAAAAACCTTCTTGCATATGATTATTGATTTAAAATAAGAAATACATAAATATAAAGGTATATTATATAATTAGTTATATATAACACAAAGCCACACATAATAATAATATTCCCATCACCTGTTTAGTGATATAAAGGTCCCGGATTAAGCTGCGTGTAAAGAAGAGAGAAACATATTTATACAGAAACTTTCACAATCTATATGATATAAACATATATGACAGATATAAAACATAGCAAGTGCCTTAAACATATTGCAGATGTCTAAATGTAAAAATCAAAGCAATTACTAAAGAGTTACATTTAAAAAATGGATGTTAACATAATTTTTTTTATTACTTTTTTTTTAAATCATGAATTTATAATGAACTTTTATCTCATGTTATTTTATTGATGTTCTATTTTATATTAACATCTTTAGTAATCACTTTCCAAGTGCATGTGAAACATTAAAATAACTGTATTTTAAATGATATAAATATTTTATCTAAATAATTTTAAATACTATACACTACATTGTCCATACTGTGAGTTAGTTATCCAAACAATTAGTATGTAATTACAAAATTATATAATCTTACCTTGTTGGTGAAACGACGGTCTAGTGCCGTACAAGCCTTCGTAGCCTTGCTCTGGGCCCAGCATGTCCTAAACAATGTAATAGTTAATTAAAATTCATAATTAATAAGGATTAGTATTAAAATATAAGGGAAAAAGTAAACTTGGGAGGAGAAAGTTTTATGCAATACTAACTGTCGCCTGCGACTCCGTCCGAGCGGGTATAAAAATATATATATATAGTATCCGATTATCACACCTCCTGAATATGCATATAAAATTACATAAACTCGATCAATCCGTTACGAGAATTTTATATATGACATTAACATTGTTTTCACATTGATCACTTCCAAACCTACAATGTTTCGGCTGCAATACTCATGTGGCTATACATTACTTAATAAAATGTAACGTAGTATAATAACCTGCAAGTCGGGCTGCATGGCGAGATCGTTGGGCCACATCTGGTGATCGTCACGGAACAGCGAGTTGGTGAGCTCCATGGAGAGCCGCTTCTTGTAGTCGTGCGGCTTGTCCTCAGACATACGGAACAGCACCGCCGCAGCATACGTAGCTACTCCTGAACAACACCCACACACACACTCATTATACTATCAATTTCTTCTATCCTTTATGGAAATTTAGATTATTGATTGTATGATTGTCCAAAGACATTTGTTCAGTTTATTTTAGTAACTAATTAATAACAAGATAAATGAAAAAAATATTTTTAGTTTAACATTTGAAGAAATTTTAAAGTAAATTTCTTTTGAGCAGACTCCAAAAAGAAGAAGGTTAACGATTCGTCTGTATTTAAAAAAAAATAAGTTTGTTTTTGCTGCTGTGTTTGATAAAATAACCGAATTTAACCAAAGTGTTTACAGTATAGATAAAATATCGACCTTCATTACGTGAATGCAGCAGTTCGGTGAGCGGCGCGGTGGCGCCCTCCGCCTCTATCATCTCGGCGCCCTCCTTGTCGGCCGCCAGCTCGCACAGCACGCCGGCCGCCACGCGCTGCACAAACATAAACACATTATAATTTGCTTCCGATATTCATCTGACAAACCTTGACAGAGTTGACATCACACAATGATTTTCAATAAAAAAGATTACTAATAAATTGGATAAATTCCTTTGCATAGTTTTTTTTAACACCCCGCTGATCTATAATTGTGTTCTACACATTCACGCGAAGTTAAGAGCCGCCGTAGCAGTCGATATCACATATAATTAGATGTTAGATATTTTTGCCGAAACCGGTATAATACGGTTCAAGCTTTATAGAGGGACAGTATAAATAGTAATATAATTTGGATGACACTATACCTGTATGTTTTCAATTTCATTGAACAGCAGCTGCACAAATATCGGTATGACGTTCTGTTGGCGGATGAGTTGGCGGTTGAGGCCCTCACGCGCAAGGATATGCAAAGCGCCCACTGCGCCCTCCACTATCTCCTCCATACGCACGCCGTCCGCGTACGCCCCGCCCGCGCCGCCGCCGCCGCCCCCTCCACCCGACACTGATGACCGTTGCTGAAATACAACATATTGTTTACAGAGAGTTTACACTGTTTTAAATTTGTACAAAAACAAATCATCTCGTTCTTATATCAATTATAATAGAATGTGTACTAACTCTCTGGGTATCGTTGAAGGCACGCATGAGGAGGCGCACGAGGTGGTGCACGGCGCCGTGCTCGCGCAGCGGAGCGTGATTGGCGGGGCAAAGCGCCAGGTTGCGCACCAGCCCCACCACCGCCTTCACCAGCGGCCAGCGCGAAGGCGGCTGCAGTAGCTTCACAATCACCTGCCAAAAAACATATAATATCATCATCAGCTCGCTACACCCTAATAAGAGGGCTTGGAGCCTACCGTAAGTTAGGGTTGACTATGACAGCCATTATGGCCCAGTGCGGGTTAGTTGACTTACTATGAATGTTTAATAAATCTACATATGTAAATAACTGAAAATGGGACATCATAATGTCCGCTCTGTATAGAATTTGACGTTCGTCCTACTTAATTTAGGCGTTTGACAGAAACGAGGAATAATTTGTCGTGGAACCCTTCAGGATGTGTTACATTTGGTTAAATTGAAGAAAATACTTACCGGCAGTCCGTAATGCAGACGCACAGCGTTCTGCGCCATCTCGCTATCGAGATGCCTGGATGTGAGGTGACGCAGCGCGCACACCGCCGGCTCCGTGATCTCCTCACGATCACCTGCCGACACCACAGTGCGCACCAGCGCATCCACACCACCAGCCTGGCACACAGTCACCTGGAACGGAACAATACATAGTTACAATTTGATAAGGCTATGGTTATTTTAGCCAGCCACTACTTGTTTTCCTGGACTATTCTCAGGAAGCTAAAATACCGAAATCTTATACAAACGTATTAAGTGACAAATGATATTAATAGCAGAGATAAAACTGTGTTATACTCATTAGGGTGCGTATAGCGCTGTATTATTTACTGTTCATTCTTTCTCTTTGCATTTGATGCAAGATAAATAATTAATCTGATAATAAATATTTTATAATGAAGATGTAAGGTACCTCAATGTACAAAAAATGCATCCTTTGATGTCTTGGCTTTAATAACAATAAAAATATGTGATTGAATTTTTCTTATATATATCTTTAATAAATTACCTTATTACGCTGATTATTGCAGGTCAAGTTGGAGAGAATGCCCGCAGCGCAGGTCACGATGTTGACGTCAGTGGATGCCAGCACCTGCACCAGGCTCTGAAGCAGGGCCTCCAGACCTTCCACCTGCATGTGTTTCATTAAATACTTAATCTTTCTTTGCGATAACATCAATATTAAGTTAACATAGATTGATTACCAAAATCGATAAAACACGATACCTTAGTGGCAGCATCAGAGAGGTTTCTCAGGGTCCAGAGACAGTTCTGCACGAGGCGGCCACTCGGGTTGCCGAGGTGCATGGCCAATGCCTGCATGCCACCCGCCTCCACGATGGCCGGCTTGTTGCTCGAGCACACAGACAGCACCTGCGAATATGTAACATTTGTAGTGCGAATTGCATTTATGTTTCCGAAAAAGTAAAGTATTATACTTGTAGGAATTTAAAAATATTTTACCTTCAAAACTCTGGAAGTAGTCCACAGCAACTTTTCATAATCGTAGGAGCGCATAATGCGCACTAATTCAATCGGGCCTTGAGAGGCTAGAATAATCAGTTTAGACTCTTGATTTCCGTATGCCAGGATCTGAAGACAGTCAGTCACGATAGCCAGAAACTTGACATTATTCCTCTGCAGCAGAGCTACCATCTTCTGCAGGCCACCAGCCAAACGAACCGCCATCTTGGAACCATCTTGGTGCAGCAAGAGATTATGCAAAGTGGTGATTGCATAGAACAGAACAGATTCGACGGGAGAGCTTAGAAGTTTAACCAGAGCTGGTATTCCGCCGCTCTTGAAAATCGCCAGTAGACCTTGTCGGTGATGAGACAAGTTGTGCAGAGTTCCAACAGCACCTTTGGTGGTTTCAAGGTCATTGCTGTTGGAGATAGCGCGCACTAGAGCAGCAACCATCTGGGGAGAGTTCATGATGGCATGACGGGAAGCCTCCTTCTTGGAGAGTTGGTGCACCATCATTGCAGCCTGGGAGACAACTACTTGATCTTCATCATTCAAAAGCTTGATCAACTCTGGTATGGCCCTGAAATAGAAATATAATTATTAATAAGTACATGATTGTATACTAATATAATAAAGAAAATGTTGGGATTTGCTGTTTGCTTGCATACAATAGACTGAAACTAATGATCTGACTTAATTGAAATTTAAATTCGAAGTCCCTGGCACCTGCTACTTTTCTATAAGAAAAATAAATAAGCTATCTCACAGTGCAAATTAGGCAATATAGTACCTGGTAGCCAAATCAGCATCATCTTGATAGTTGATCAGATTGACAACAGCATGCTTGAGCATCTGAGAGGGCTCAGCAAGGCGCTGCACCGCGGTGGGTTGAGCGGGATCCAGCTGAGTGGAAGGGATCTCTATGCCTTCCTCCAGTGTCTCTGGGAACATCGCTGCACGGACACGCTGGGAGCGAGTCTGAGAGAGCTGCTGGTTCATATCTAGAAATACATACTAAATTTGTAGCAATAACAATAGAGAATAAATATTTTAGGAAAATATTTACTTTAAAAGATGTTTTAATTTTTTTATAAGACAAGGGGTTAACAGGCAACAAAAACTGCAGATAAACTGTGCCCTTAAACATCGGCAACACCAGAGGATTTTATATAAGATTACAAAATAATGAGTAATTCATACCGTCAACTTGTTCCTGGGTAAAACCCTGAGCAAAGCCCTGATCGAGATCAAACATGAGCTGGTCTCCTTCCATCTCATCATCTTCCTTGCCAGTTAGTGATGGTACCTAGATAAAAAGAAGATTAATAAAATTTGTTAGTAAATTCATAAAATAAGTACTATGGGATGTGTTGTTGAAGTGGGTATTATATAGTCAACAATTTTAATTGACCCCAATAGCAATTTGGAATTAAATTTCAAATTACACTATAAATCCTGTTACCACTTTTTTTACAAAGATATTATTATTTCTGACTTGAGATACTATGAAGACATACCTGAGTAGCTGCTCCGGAATTGATACCAGAATCCACTAAGTAAGAGTTCTGCTGCCACATCAAAGTCTGCTGCTCTTTGCTTGGTGCCATGGGCACATCAGACCCACCATAGCTGCTGTGCGACACTAACAAAACAAATAGTTATTTTAAAACACCAACATACACTCATTATTAAATTGAACATTTTTTTTTTCAGTCTTGAAATAAATCAACTCTTCCAAAGAGATCTCTTGAGGTGTAAGCATTTTTTTTGTTGAATGTGGTTTTATTGATTACCAAATTTCAAATTGTTTGTTAAAAAAATATTAATTCACCTCTTTTGCATTCACAAAGAAGAGGTCCGGAGTAACTACCAAAACATGGCCAAGTAACCATTATAAGATAAAATAAATTTTTATGCATTCTATATATTCCCAGCAAATGAATTAGTCATATTTCAAGGTACTGTTCTGTGGCATAGGTTATTTTGCAATTTAACATAAGATTTGCTCATAACTTATTACATAGTAAATGTGCATTTATGTTAAATCAATAGTAATCCTACTGTTGTATTATCAGTATAATAGTAAATACAAATAAACTACTAAAACTAAAATACAAATAAACACAATGTTGAACGTGACTAATTATAAATGTCTGGGTAATTTTAAATCAAAAGTATGATATTTAGTCATTAACTATTAATATATAATTTCAAAATCAATTCAAAATAACAAAACTTACTTGTGCGACTTTGCGATGATGGTATCTGATAGCTCATGATTCAGTGGATGCAGCAATGCACCCTGCGCCTGTGAACGAAATAAAACTATGAGGCGCCGTTCAACACGCAGCCGTGGCTATCGATTTATAAACAACTGAACAAACAAGAATCGAAAAGTATCGTGTTATTCACATAAACACTTTCAGCTTCTTTTTAAATATATGCAACGAACTAAGATATAGGAAAGTTATAACAAAACAAACAAAGTATCCTAAGCTTCGTGGTGATCTAAATACCACACCCCGACATAATTAACTAGATTTTATCGATCGATTATGTTAAATATTACAAATAACTATTGAAAATCAAGTACTAAGTCTACCTGTAGTCGTTAAACCCGCGATTAATTGAACAAACACTTACTTTAAGAAATTTAATGAAACAAAACGCGATCTGCGTTTGGCACTTTCGTCTATCCTGACATGACAATATGGCGTCAAGTTCGGATGTTCCGTGCGCTGATTCGGAAAAAGTCGGATATATTCGAGAATACAAGAATGCAAACCGAAATATATAGCTGACTCTTTCTTGGTTATCGGTTATCGTTGGGTATGTATAGTTGTATGATACGATAGTACTAACGTTATTATTTGTTAGGTATTTTACTTTATTATACATTTACTCAATCTATAGACCTATAGCATTAGTATTAGATACGTGGATCGCATAGTGTGTTTTTTGTTACCGTGAGTTTACACTGCCGAAACTTACTCAAAAACATATCGCCTTCCCTCTCAGTCTCTTTGAAAAAAACATGAAAGAGATGTTTTGGACCGATCTTTTAGCAATAAATCTCACGAGCTCACTGTATTGTACTTATGAGCTCGCAGCAACAGTTTCTCAATAGAAATTAGAAGTAGGATGGACTAACATTATATAATACAAAAATGATCATAATTACTTGGTTGACACCAAGTTGTATTGATCTATTTTATTTTGCTGTTACAAAAAAGTTGCTGCGTTCCGTTATACGCTACTGTTTTTGTACTCCTACTTATCCATCGAATTGTATGTAATTTCTATCGACTGTACATATTGTCAAATATTTATGACAAATACTCTGAAATTTAAATGAATATATTTCTGTGATATTTTGTTAATAAAATCATATAATGATGGAAAATAAACGAAATGTTTCCGCTCAATTTAATATACCAATGCCGCGAATTAGTGACTTGGGAGCAATGCGTGAACTTATCGGGAATTACAGGAATCGAATATTGAGAGAATTTGTTATCGACGAGAAGGAATGTAAAAGCACTTTGGCTGTTTCATATGGTATGAAGAGACCACCAGCGCCAAAGAAAACATGGATTCAAGAGAACAACGATCGATTTATTGCAAATACACCGAATGAATATTTAGTAGAACAAAGCTTTTTGACTCAAATTGGTTTTATTAGCTCATTGATTTATACACCTGATGGTGAAAATATCATTGTGGGACACTCCAGTGGTCTGATCCAGGTTTGTTACATTTTTAAATTCTTATTGACGATATGAAAGCATATAATTCATAGGTAAATACTAGGTACGACTAGTCGTCAGTAACATGAGACCTCAGTTCCGTAACGACACACCGGTATACTTATGTATTGTGTAGAGTAACGAAACTTACTTTAGGTAGAAACTAAATACTAACGAAAACCGTAAAAATATAACAATCTAATTATTACGTACCTGATACGAAATTTAGGTTATAGTGCGATCTACTGCGATACTGTGTAAATTTTTTAACTTTCAAATACGTTGTAATAGTAGCAGACGTTACCAGTAGATGGCATTGTTTTAAAATTTAGAAATAAATGCAAATTAAGTATTTCTAAAAACATAAAATATAATCGGAATTTACAGAATATAATAAAAACAATTAATTTTATACGTTTACACACTTTTTTTTAATGTAAATGAAAAACAAATCTAGTACACTGATAAAAACATGGCCGGCCATCAAGAGATTGTTGCAAAATATGTTGATAATATTCTGGCTTATTATAAAAATGAACGAAGTCCGCAAATTTGGTATCCGATGTTCTACCACGGAGTTTCTAAAGAAAAAGATCCTCATGGTTGGGTAAAGGAAAATAACGTGAAGTTTTTAAAAGGCACACCTAACAAAATTTTATACAACCGTTGGTTTCTTTCTGAATACGGCGCTATAACGGCACTAACTTATTCACCTAATGGATGTCACATAATCGCTGGCCATTCATCTGGCTTGATACAGGTTCGATTTTTAAAACTACTTATCCTAGTGCTTGTTCACATTAACCATCAGGCGTGTGCCTGGATCGACTAGTTAAAACCGGATAAATTTACTTGATGACTCCTGAACTTTTCCATATAATATTATATGTTTATTATGTCGGATAGATGCGGCATGGCAGTACAGGAACGGTGCTTTGTACGTTACGGAACATCCAGTATCCGCCGAAGCCGGTGTACGCCCTCGTGTATAGTTTGAGCGAGGAGAAAGTCTGCTATGCGGCCTGCATGGACGGCGCAGTCTACCGTATCGAAATACCTAATGTAAGTTATTCCATTCTCATTATCTCCTAGTCTTTATCTCTATTTCGTCAACATCTGTTTCCGTCCTCCAAGTCATTGTATTCTAAACGCAATCAACGTTTCTAGCCTCTTAGTACATCGAAAATTTATCAGTATGTGTTTAAGAAAATTCCGGTGTAATAAATTAAAAGTAATATATTAAAGCAAATTAATGCAGATTGAATATGTTTCATTTAACATATAATATTATGTAGGTAACTTATGTTCCTAATATCTTGTCTATAATAGTATCTAATACCAGTCTTGTCTTACTAACCCCTGTGGTTTGTAAAATAACGTATGTTGTCGACGTCCTGTGTGCCGTGCTCCGAATTAAATTTGAACACAATTAAGGCCAGTCACAAAGATATTACGTTACCGTACTAACGTCGCCTTGTAATTACAGCTTACATGGTGACCTGAAAACTAAATTACATGATCAAATTAATATCCATATTATAACGTAACTTAAAGCTATGTCCTTACTAATATTAGTAATGCTAATGTTTATATAGATGGCTGGATGTTTGTTATTATCTCCAGGACGGCTTAACATATCTCGCTGAAATTTGGCATAAGTGCAGAACATGTTTGGAAGAACACATAGGCTAGTTGAGTTTGTTTTTAATTCCGCGCAGACAAAATCGTGGACAAAAGCTAGTACAATATAATATTTTGACATAGAACTTAGGCAACCTCAAATATATTATACTCTTGAGCTAGAATACGTCGGAGAATAAGATGTTTTATTCGAAATCGTTACCAAAATAACAATAAGAAAGAACTATGATATAACACGTTACAATTCGTCAAGTTTTAAATAAAGACAAAATTGAACTAAACATAATATTAGTATCAAAGGCAAACTTAGTAAAACACATTATTTTCACAGATAAATGTATCAACTCAAGACCCACCGGATTATTGCATTAGGGCGGACCCTGCGCTTGAATGTTTGAACACACAGTTCTACGGAGCACCGGGCATATCATCCTCGGCAACACCGTTCGTGACACGTATGTTAAATTTACATTACTAATATCAAGAGTCCAAAGTCCACAAAAAAATTTACACATTCGCAATTCGAACGAATAATTTGATACGCTAACGCCGGAAGAATTGACCATTGCCGTATCATTTCCTCATTTAAAATTAAGAGGAAACGGAAACAAAAAGAATGTAATAGGGTATTGGGTTCACGGTAACCCTTTTTATGAACTAAAGTGCAACTGTAATTTACGCTGTGTTACTTCATCAGTCGAGCTGCCTGTATTACCTAGATACTGAATGTCGCCCAGGGCGCTGGACAGAAAGGAGCGCCATAGATCTACGAATAACACAGTCTCATGTAAGTACCTCATAAAGGTATGCCGCCGCCCATGGCACATTTTCGACCTTTTCTAGATACGTTGTCAGATATCTCAGATTTAGATCTTATGAGAGAATTCTGTAGGCTAGGTAGGATGACGTCATCATTAAAATAACGCTTCTTTCATTTTACGATCAAATCGTAACGAGATAAGTTATTTCACAGAGAGGACGCCGGCTCTCTCGCTGGGCATTACAGCTGACCAGTCGAAATTGGTCGTTGGTTACGCGGACGCCAGCATAAAAGTATACGACATGGAAACCCAAGAGGTTATTCTAACAATTGCTTCTTATATCTTTAGCGTAAAGACGTTTATCCGAACTTGACCGTATTATAATAGTCACTCTATGAAGATAAGTAATTAGTTCTTGAAATTTAAAAATAATAACATGACATCTAGTCTATTATTTCATCTTTTTTTAATATTACACAGCGTTACGAAAGAGAGTATAAATATTGAAGACCTTAATACCTTAGAACAGATTTAATCTCACTTTATAGCCCGTATAATATCGGCTTTATAGATCTTTGAAGATCCTTTAACCTTTATTAAGTAGGTCGCTGGTCAAGGATTACGTGATATCAGATGAGAAGATATTACACGTCTTTATCTAATTGAAATTTGTTTCAATAAAAGTAAAAAGCGATGTAAGTAGTTAATAACTTAAGTTAGTAACTAATCTAGCTTTTCAAAAACCATTACTTTAAGTCACGTTCACAAAGACAAAGAAACTGTTTATTTTCATTTTGTGGCATAAAATATATTATATATATTCCTAAAAGCTGTTAATTTAATCAACGATTCTTGTATCTGAATGTTATATATTTAAATAACTTTTCATTAATTACAGTTGGACATGACATATAAAGTGCAAAAGTTGCGTTTACAATTCATACCAAAGAAATTGCAACGTATGCACAGTGATCAAGTCTGTGCATTGCGTTGTCACGACCAATTCGTCTATATGTTCGCCAGCGGCGCTTGGGACAGGACTTTGCGGGTAACATTGTAACGATGCTATACCTATAAATTAAAAAAAGTAAATTAAATAAGAACATTTTGTTACAGATTTGGGATATTAGATGTCAAACTGGTTGCGTCACGACATTTGAAGGTGTTAATGTATGTGGCAATAGTATTGATTTAAATGTAAGTATAAAGCCGGTAGTGCTTAATGATAATTCTTTAGGTAATTTTGATTTTGGAACGGCCACAAATGTTTTTTTTTAGAAAAACCAATGCATAGTCGGCAGCTGGCAGCCGACTGAAGCTTTGACAGTGTGGGACATAATTGCTAAGAAAAAAGTTAACGTCATACGAGTGCAGAATCGAAGACCGGATGTCGACGGAGAGTATATTTACACTTGCAGATATTGGAAATCAACAGACGTAATATTAATTTTATATTACCAAAATTTATTGCCGTAAATTTAATTATTTTCCAGACAGCCATGATATTTAGAAAACCAATGGCGTAGATTCTTTATTCAAAATTTGCGTCTTCATTGTACATCC